GATTTAATTAGCTATTTATTGAGAAAATATTGTATGCCAAAAGGCTATGATATTCAAGTGCAACGGATTAAGTACAAATCTAGAAATGGATGAGTAGTAATAGAAATATTATTATTCCAATTGTTAATTTAATATGATAAAATAGATCCAGATGATGTCTTGACCCTAGGTCCAGATCTATACTTATACTATGTAAACTTAATTTATTATTTTTACTCCACTCCCTTTTTACAATCGCTCTGAGAAGACTTTCATAAACCAATCCTAACCTTCGCCTAGTTAGAGTAATTAAACTGATTCCCTTCGTCCACTCCTCGAGAGACACGACACTCGGAGAGAAAACTAACCCTTTATTGGGAAGGTTTACTACCCGAAAAACTACAATTGTCAAATGGCGCCGTTGCCGGGGAGTCGCACGGTATTAGTTTAATTTCTTCTGATTAGCTTGGGTGAAGATTGGTTAGAACGATCTTCTCACTTCTTTTTCACCAGCTACCCATAATAATTATTATGGATAACTTCAGTGGTTATTACGGCCCGCCTTCTTACTACGAATCACCTAACAGCCCTCCGTTTCAAACCCATCCACCTTACCACCCGCATCAGAACCCATACGATGATGACTACCAAGTCAACAATGGGTCTGACTACTATCCCTACCATGAGGAACCACCATATGATACCCCATCTGAGAACTTTGGATATTCTCCGTACCAAGACTCTGATGGGGAAGATTATTATGAACCTCATGGTGATCACGATGACTATGACCGCAATGGGCCTATATACGACGATCAACCTGATCCACTCGTCGAAGAAATTCAAAGATTAGAACAGAAAATATTCTATTTCGACGAACTTTTATTCGCTGAAGGCTCTTGGTATGAACCACCTTACTCCCGTGACTACACTTTGTTTGCTGAAGAACAAATTGAAGCAAACAAGGTGGCAATTCGAGAAAGAGCAAAACTTCTGGAATCAGTCCGGAAGGAAAAGGAGTTCGAAAGGAGATTATGCGAAGGATCAGATATGATTCAGAAAATGCTGGATGACTTCCAAAGAGAGATACTAGAAGCTGAGGCTAAGGCTGATGAATTAGTCAATGATCTTTGTAAGGCTATTGAGCTTAAACGCTCCCTCCAATCTCAAGATCAAATGAGGGAGGTTAATGCTCAAAACGAGGCTGTAGAATTTAAGACCAACCCTAAACCATTCAACCATCATGTTCCAGTTCTAGAAGATTCACCCAGTTTTTCACCATCACAGAAACCCGAGAGCATAACAACTCTCGCTAGGGCTACTGTGGTGATGTTACCTGAATGTCCTCCTAGCCAAGTCTTAACGAGCATAGTCGTACAAGAGGTGGGACCAACTGAGGGACCTGACTCAGAACCACCTAGGCTTATTCAAGAAAAGAAAGAGGAGGAAGTTTTGCCTATGGCAATAAACGACCATCTCCTTAATTGTGTTGAAGACACACCTCCAGAGGAACTTGTTCTGGAGGAAATAGAGCCCATTATCTTCCCCCAAGATACCAATGTCCATGAGTCCGAGCCGGAATCTACAGGCGAGGAAATACTTTGCATAGAAAAGCCAACTCCGTCAATAGAAACCTGTGTACGTAATGCTTCACCTGAAGACTCAGACCAAACCTTCTTTGACTCCCTACTTGACGGGTGTGACGGTTGGAGATTAAGGAGTTGGGATGAACTTCTGATGAGTGACACTGAAAACTCATCCATGGGGGAAAGCACGGTCGTAATCATCAAACCACAAATGGATGGTCAGCCTGTTGAAGATAAGGAAAAAATCAATCTCGCTATGAAGGCCAATGATGTGGATCAACTGAGGAGACTTCCGCCACCACCCACCTATTTAAAGTCTCCTCCTTTTATCTTGTTGCCGCCAAGCCGCAGGGACGAGTCAAGGATCTTGGACCTTGACCGAGCAACAAATCAAACGAGGTGGCACCAGAAGAGAGTCAGAAGGGCCAAACTTTATGACTCTCGGATTGGGAAGTCGCAGAAAAAGTGGGTGAGCGTCGAGCTACGGACGTTAAACAAGCGCTTAACGGGAGGCAACCTGCCATTCAAATAACTAAAATAATTAAATAAATTCAATAGTTTTATTTGTTAGTTTTTGAGGTTTTGCTTGCCGCACCAGTTTTGGGGGCAAGAGTTATTTTGTTTGTTGTCTTTGCTTTTGCAGATGAGAGAATTGTAGGGCATACCTTACAGTGGGAGCGAAGAAGAGGTCTCACCTGGGGAAAACACAAGGTTTCTGCAACCTTCAGGCTTCTTGATCCAACAATCCTGGTGTTGGCTACTGAGAGAATATTGACTTCCCCAGTAAAGTCTCTTTTTCTCTACTATTTTGAACACGGTTTGGATGCTTGATGATTTTTATTTTTGAATTTCACAACATGACTCTTAAAACCATTTTGAGAATATTTTATGCATTATTTCATATTTTCATGTTATGGTTATCTATTATTTCAATCTTCATCGTTGAATCTTGTAAGTATTGAGATAACTTAGTAATTGCATGTGAGCATTTCAACCATTAACTCCAATTCCAAAATACTTTTAGCCACGAGGGCGTGGTTCCGT